GCGTACCCAAAAAAAAAAAAAAAAAAAAAGAAAGTTGGGTCAGCAGGACGTGGGGAGGAGGGAGGGGCAACTGAGGATAGCTATTTCTCCTTGTCCTCCTCACCTGTGGCCACTGTTGAGCATTTGCCACGAGCCAGGCACTTTTCATAGGTTCCAAGTGGCTTTGTCACTCACCCCAGGCAGGTCACATAGCTCCTAAGTGCTCAAACCCAAGTCTGCTGGCTTCACTTGGTACCATGATGCCACTTCCCTCCAGCTCCTGGAATTCCCTTCTCTGGAAGAGCAGCCTTCTGCTCCAGCCGAGGAGAGGTAGAACCTTAACTCATATTCACATCAGGGAGAAAGAAACTAATGTCATCTGTGCTCATCACTGCCGGGCAGTTAACAAGCATCTTCGCACTCAGTCCCCCGACCATCTCATGAGGGGCCGCTACTGGACTCCTCTAGGCAACCAGGGAAGCTGGAGCTCAGAGAGCAGTGATTTGCCCAAGGACTCCCGGCCAGAACGAGGGGAGAGTCGGGATTCAGACCCAGGATTCTGTCCCACCCCAAAGCTTGTGTTCCTAACCCCACACTGCACTGCTGCCCCAGCCGGTGTTCAGCTGATGCAGCTGTTAGGGCTGTTGTATCTGGTGCCCACGCAGACATACATGCACACACGCACCCCTGTCGATCCTATAAGACACATGATGGAACGGCAGTCTTGGGCTGTGTGTAAACCTCTGGGGTGCACGGGGAACGCTTTCTCCCTCCTTCTTTCTCTCTGAAGACTGGGGGCACAGAGGCTTCGGGAAACCAGTTCATTTCAGAAGGTGATGGTCTCTGTGGCTTATACAGTGGCAACACTGTGTGACCTCGGGCAAAAGCCCCATCCCCTCTGACCCTCAAGAGTCTCATCTGTAAAAAGAATGGATTAGATTCAAATAGTTCTGCAGCCCCTTCCAGTTCTCAAAGGCCCCAAATCTATAGCGTGCCCCTTGGTGAGGCAGGTCCGGCCCACAGGGCTTATTTGAGAAGTTACCACCCAGAGACAGAGCCTGACTCAGGAAGCCCCCAGCTCCCTCCTGTCTACTGTATGGGTCATTACCTCCAAACCTAGTGCCCTCCACCTGTGCCTTTTCCCTGGCTAAGGTCATCAGGAAGGAGGGGCGCTGAGGGGGGATTCCCGGGACCCCATGTAGCCGTATGTATGCCTGTCCACAGGGGTTATGCCCAAGCACGGGCTGGATGTGTCTGCCTGCGAGGTGTTCCGATTCTACAAGCTGGTGACTCTCAAGGGCCTGATTGAGCCTATCTCCATGATCGTGCCCCGGAGGGTGAGTGGGGCTGGGCTGGTTGCAAAGGGCCCCTGGCATTGAAGCCTAGCTTTCTCGCCCCTGACCGTAAGCCTGGCGGAGCCCGGAAGAAGGAGCCCTTTTCCTGTGGGTTGGGGCAGGGGTTGCAGGCCGCTCCAAGGTGAGGACAGTTTGGCTGGCTACGGAAGGCAAGGTGGGAATTCCAAATGGGAGACACTGTGAGTACAAAGGCCGGAGGCAGGGCAGCAGGTATGCGGTTGGACGTCAGCAAAGAGGAGAACCTGACTGGAGAGCACGGGCTTTCTCAGCAGCCCCCCATCTGTCCACTCTTCTGCTTCCCCCGCTGCAGTCGGATTCCTACCAGGAAGACATTTACCCCATGACGCCGGGCACAGAGCCAGCTCTGACCCCCGATGAGTGGCTGGGAGGCATCAACCGAGGTACCGCAAGGGGTGGGCTTCCCAGAAGAGGCTAGGAGACTGCAACCTTGGCATTCGGTCTAGCCCACCCCTTCCCCTTGCATATTCTCCTCATTGAACTTGCCCTCACACTCAGCCTACTGTTGGGCGTGGTGTTGAGAGCCACCATCACTTGACAGTCAATGGAATTGTCAGTGAGAACACACCCCTTGCCTTTCTTAGATCCTGTGCTGATGTCTTTGAAAGAAGGCTATAAGAAGTCCCCCAAAATGGTATTCAAGGCTCCCATCAAAGAAAAGAAGAGCGTTGTGGTCAACGGAATAGATTTATTAGAAAATGTCCCACCCAGGACAGAGAATGAGGTAAGGAATATAAGTTATTGCTGCCACACATCCTGGCAGAGCGAGACCTTTGCATTTCAATTATGGGCTTCAGGCCTTTAAGCTAGCTCCGTTCTGAGGCATTTTTCTGTGTCTGACAAATACCATAAGTAGCCTGCTGTTGGCTTCCGTTGCCTCTGACCCCAATAACTAGAGGCTGGGCTACGGTAGGGATATTGATGCCCCTCAAACCCGCGAACCCAGAGTTACGTGTCCCCTCATGAATCCATTTCAGAATGTTGCTGTCATCTGGAGTTATAAATTCCTGACTCATGGGGAAAGCCAGCCTCATGCATTACAGCACTGCTTTCCTCCCTGGCATGGCAGCAGCAGCAGGGTCTGATGATTTCCTGTTTTTGTGGAAGAGGCTGCGTGTTGATGAAAGTACTCTTTGTACCATTTGGAAAGGGAGCAGCTCATCAGGGGTAACCGGAGCGGGGCCTTGTCCACGCCCCCCAGAGGCCTCTCCTTCCAACCACACCCTCGGTCCCTGGCACCAGCGTAGTTCAGCTCAGCCAGGATTCACGGAATGCCCACCGTGTGCCAGGCACTGGGCTTGATGCAGCTGCGGTGGAGGTGGCTGCAGAGACCCACCTGCATTTAGATCCTGGCTCTCTCATTTCCTGGCTGTGCCTGAACATGTTTCCTGACTTCCCTAAGTCCATTTCCTCACTGTAAAACGGGGATATGAAATGCTGTGAGCATTAAAGAGACCATTGCTAAGTATCTAGCACTCTTCCTGCTCACATTAAATGCATAAAGAGGCTAACTGTATTAGCTCTCGATTACCATGTAACAAATTACCCCAAGACTTAGGGACTTAAACCCCAAACATTTATTATCTCATAGTATCTGTGGGTGCCTGCGGCTCGAGGTCTCTCATGAGGGTGTGAACCATCAGCCAGGGCTGCAGTCACATCTGAAGGCTCACCTGTGGAAGGATCTGCTTCCAGGTTCACTCACTCGGTTGCTGGCAAGACTTATTTCCTCACAGGTCATTGGACTAAGGGTCTCAGTCCCTCAAGGGCTGTCGGCCGGATACCTCCCTCAGGTCCTTGCGATATGGACCTCTCCACAGGGCTGCTCACAGCATGGCAGTGAGGAAGAGAGGGTGTCCAGGATGGAAGCCAAAGTCTTTTTGTCAACTCCCCTTGCAAATGACATACCGTCATGTCTGCCATATTCTATTCATTTGAAGCAAGTTACTAGGTCCCGTCTACCCATGAAACGAGAGGATAACATGGGGCCATCTTACAGGATTTCTTGTCACACCAACGTATAATTATCACTGCTATTCATAAAAGTAAGACCATTCCTAACCTCTGGGACCTCACAGTCTTAAAGGTGAAACTGGCAGGTAAATTGATAATTGCTATAAAATATGTTTATGTGCCATTATAGAGGGATGTTCAGATTTCTAAGGCTGGATGAGACCGTGTGATCAATGGGATTTGCTTCAAAATAATCGCGAGGAGGGTGGTACAGGGGAAGTAGGTAAGAGTAAAGCCGAAGCAAGAGTGGATACATGGGGACTTCCCTTGTGGTCCAGCGGTTAAGACTCCATGCTTCCAGTGCAGGGGGTGCAGGTTCGATCCCTGGTCAGGGAACTAAGATCCCGCATGCGACGTGGAACGGCCAAAAAGTTAAAAAAAAAAAAAAAAAAAGAAGAGTGCTTGCATGTTATTTGCTGAAATTGGATGATGGGTACTTGTTTTCGTTTTCTGTTAAAAAAAATTTTTTTTCCTTTTAAGTACCTTGAGAAGGTAGACACAGTTGAATTGCTGCGATAGCCCAGGGCCATAACAAGAACCTGAAGTTGGTTCTAGTACTGGGTGTGGAGAAGGCAGGGTGAATAACAGTTATAATGAGTAACCTTTAGCTATGGACTTGTCTGTATCAATCAGAATGGAGGACCTGGAGAAATATTTTAAAGGGTCTCTGAGCAGACAGCATAGATACCACGATCTCTCTACACTACAGCCTGGATACTTTGCTTGTTGGGGAAAAAAAAAAATTGCTCAGAGCCTGTTACCCTGGTTTTACCCACAGTTTTAATCATCACAGAAGACTGGAAGCAACCAATGAGATAATGGGGCTGTGAACAGTAGACACATTGGTCTAAGTGTGAAAAGACAACAGGTAGCTTGACACAGGGGAGAAGACATCATTGTACAGCTCTGTAATTTTACTAAAACTCACTGAATTGACTTAAAATGAGTGAAATTTATGGTACATGAATTACATTCAGTAAATCTGCTTTTTAAACAAAAGTAGATCCAAAAAATTTTACAAAGAAACTTTGAGAACTTGGAAGGCACAGGAGTGTGTAGAATCACTTAGTGCAGGGCAGACACCACAGCATCCCTCTGAACAGATGTAACCAGGACTGGTTTGTTGGTTAATGAAAAATAAAAGTCCGTTAAAGGAAAGAATCACAAAAATTATATATATATATATATATATATATATATATATA